CCAGAATTTTCATCTGGTTCTTTTTATTTGAGACAGGGTCTCGTTCTGTCACCCAGGCTGAAATGCACTGGCACTATCACAGCTCACTGCAGCCTTGACCTCCCAGGCTCAAGCAATCCTCCCACCTCAGCCTCCTGAGTAGCTAGGACTATAGGTGTGTGCCACCATGCTGGCTAATTAAAAAAAAAAAAATTGTAAATACAAGTTCTCACTATGTTGTCCCAGACTGGTTTTGAATTCCTGGACTCAGATGATCTTCCTGCCTCAGCCTCCCAAAGTGCTGGGATTACAGGTGTGAGTCACTGAGTCAAGCCTGTTTTTTTTTTGTTTTTGTTTTTAATACAAAATATATAATTTCTACCTTCTTAATCTCCATTTGAGGCAATATTGGCTCACACCTTCCTTTAGTTTTACCCCCTTTAGTTCTTTAATCATAATGTTCTTTAGTTCTTAGAACACATTTATGATGGCCACTTTGAAACCTTTTTCTTTTAAATCCAGCATCTTGCTCTACATAGGCAGTTTCTGCCTTTTCCCCCAGTGTATGGGCCATACTTTCCTGTTTCTTTGCATGCCTCCTAATTACCTGTTGAAGAGTGGACATCTTAGGTAACCATTGTAGCAATTCTGGATACTAGCCAGCCCGATCTTGGACTATTTTTCTGCTTCCTTTGCTTAGGGATCAGCTAGACTATTTTAGTGGCATCTATTTCCCACCCCACATCCCAGAGCCTCTGACTGCATCTCAGTTTTTCTCCTCAGGATCACCATCTTGGTTATGCCGTCAGTCGCCCTGGATGACAGTGGTTTGAAAGTGTTGCAAAGCGCTTTGTTTTCCCTGACCACATCCAGCCGTTAAGCTCCACTAATGGTCAGCTGATTGCTCCACTGTTTTGAATGCTGCCCTCGACATAAATTGCTTCGCAGGTCAATCCAATCAAATTTGGGCTCCTTTGAAGGGATAGTTCCTGAAGTTAGTGTTTGTGATACTTATATGACCCCTAGTCAGACAATATTTTTGGCATAGATCTCCAATAAATACACTGATCGACCACAGTTGCCTTTCTCCATCACTTCCACTGTTTTTTGAGAGCACCCTTAGGCTGGAACTTCACACTCTAACAAATGCAGTTCCTATGGGGAGGAATGTGGAGCTCCCTGTTCTATGGCCTGCTTCTCCAGTGGCTCTGCTGTTTGGGGTGGGGACAATGTTGTGTCTCCCCCCAACTTTGACAGCTGAGCATTTGATGGGAGGGGAGTCAGCAATCCCAGGTTGTCCGGGCTTGCCTTTCAGTATGGAACCCCCATTCTACAGGTGAGGCCCACTAAGGGTTGTTGCCTGCCTCCATCCCTCACACCCTAAGCTCACCTCGTAAATCCGCCCTGTGCCCAGCCCTGCCATGAGGCAGTTCTCCAACATTATGTCTCTGTGGAAGCCTCTGGGGAGGGCTTAGAAATTGCCAGCTCCTCTGGTGAAGTCACTGCCACATCCACGAAGCCCACAGAACTGCCTGGACCTGAAGCAGGCTGGAACCTCTGCTCTCTCCTTACAGAGATGGGGGAGATCAGACATAACTGCTGGAGCAGGCATGAAGGCACAAGGCCTGGGTCGACTTGCACTGCTAGATGAGTCCTATACTCGCTCACCCATCCTCTACAACCAGGCTCCCCAAACCTTTTACAACTAGTTATACTCGTATGACTGGGACCTGGCTCGAGGGACATGAGCAGAAGTGGTGTGCTTTCTGGAGGCAGACACAGTGGAGGGGACTAGAGCAGGTGTCCTGTGACATCTTCAACCCTGTGGTTCCCTTCATGAAATACACATGGCGTATCTTGGTCTGTTTGCAAGGTTATAAAGTAACACCTGAGGCTGAGTAATTTATAAAGAAAAGAGGTTTATTTGGCTCACAGTTCTGCAGGCTGTACAAGCAGCATGGTGCCAGCATTTGCTTCTGGTGGGGAATTCAGGGAGCTTCCACTCATGATGGAAGGCAAAGGGGAGCAGCATCACATAGCAAGAGGAGGAAGACGGGAGGGCGGTGCCAGGCTCTCTTTAACAAACAGTTCTCACAGAAACTAATCAAGTGAGAACTCACTTGTTACCACAAAGACGGCACCAGGCTATTAATGAAGGATCCATCCCGATAACAGGAACATCTCCCATCAGGCCCCACCTTCAACACTGGGGATCAAATTTCCATGTACGATTAGAAAGGGACAAGCATCCAAACTGCATCATGGCAGGAGGAGCCTGGCTCTGCCAGACAGTTGAGCTGTTTCATCAGCCCTGATTTCCCTTCTCAACTAGTATGTGTGCAAGAACTAAACTGCTATCTTGTGTACACAACTCTGCAGGGTCCCTCTGTTATTGGCACTGGGTAGGGCAGGGTAGGAATCCCCCAGGCCCTGGCCATGAGGTGCTCTGTATTTATCACCGCTGTCCGGGTCATGGTGGGCAGTGTGGGTCTGCCTCCCCTTCTAGACCAGGTGAACCTTAATGACAGGTGCATGTTTTACTCATCCGAAGTCCCCCAGAGGCCTGGCCCATGACTGGAACTGAGGAGTCGAGGGCAATGGCAGAACTGCCTGGACCTGAAGCAGGCTGGAACTTCTGTCCTCTCCTTACTGCCTGTCTCAGTTTGGATTGCTATAACAAAATACCACAGGCTAGGTGGTTTAAACAACAGAAATTAATTTCTCACAGATCTGGGGACTGAAAGTCCAAAATCAAAGGCACTGGCAGTCTGATGTCTGCTGAAGGCTATTTCTGATTTGCAGATGGCAGTTTTCCATTTTATTTCTTCTTTTTAGCGATAAGGTCTTATCATGCCTAGGCTAGTCTCGAACTCCTGGACTCAAAGCAATCCTAATGCCTTGGCCTTCCAGTGCTGGGATTACAGGCGTCAGTCACTGCACCCAGCTTGAAAGATGGCAATTTTCTCGTATGATCACACAGCAGCAAGAGACCTCACTCTAGTTCCTTCCTTTTAAGGACTCAATCTCATCGGGGAGCCCCACCCTCACGACCTCACCTAAGCTTAGTCACCTCCCAAAGGCCCCACCTCCTAATACCACCCTACTGGGGGTCAGGGTTTCAACATATAAACTTTGGGGGGGACACAAACATGCAGTCCTAATACCATCATTACGGAGATGGAGGCCACACACCGACCAACACCCATACCCTCAAGGGCACTGGTGGCGACAGAGGGGTCTCACCCAGCAATGCCATGAGGCAGAAGTTCTCCAACATTATGTCTCTGTAGAGGCCTCCAGGCAGCACTTAGGAATTGCCAGCTCCTCTGGTGAGGTCACTACCACATCCTCAGGGCCCACAGCCTCCTGAAACAACAGAACTTTGCTGCTTCGTGGAGGAGCGTCCGTATGTCCACACCATAGGGGTGTGGTCACTTCCCTCTGCCAGGGAGAAAGGGGAGGAGAACAGGATTCCTAGTGTATTTCTTCTCTTCAGAACTGACAGCCCATCAAGGTACAATGACACAGAAAAGGGCTGGCCAGGTGCCAAGTCCTGGCTCAAGCGTGGCAGCTCCTCCCACTGAGTCTCATGGCCACCCCAGAGGACAGGCCTTCCTTTCACACACATCAGAAATAGGGACCCCAAGACCTCGAGAGGGGAAATGGGCCCAGGGACATGCCTTGGCTTGGAGTGGCTTAGGACCAGGGCAAGACACCTGACCCCAGAGCAGACCACCCTCTGACACTGGGCAACACATTCCCTGCTCTGGACCTCAGTTCCTTTGGCTGCTAAGGAGGCCCAACAATCCTGGCCTGTGTGGGACGGGACTGCCTGCAGACATAGACGGCCTTTGAGCACCTCGTATCTCGCTTCCCAGCCAGCCTGGGTGTGGAGATGGCCATGCTGACAGGTCCCCTGAGAGAGGGTCCAGCCATGGCCAGCGGGCCTCCCAGGATTGGCCCCTGGGTGCAGGGCCTGAGCAGGGAGGCCATCATGCTGCCCTTGAGACCAGGACCCAGCAGGGGCCATACCTAGATTCAGAGGCTCAGGACCACCACAGAACTGAAATGAGGTTCAAAGCCTCACACAAGAGTGGCCCCTAAAAAGGCTGGTAAAGGAGTGTTTTCACCTCTGTTTACAGTTGAGGGCACTGCTCAAGGTCATGCAGCTGGTGAATGGCAGGGAGTGAGCAGTGAACATGAGGCTGGTCACCAGGAGCAGGTAGCCGTGGGTCTCCCTCTGCCCTCAGCAACTTCACACCTGCCCCTCCCTGGGCCCCAGTCTCATATCTAAACAGGAGTGACCCCACCTCATTTCATGTTATCATCACTGCCCTGCAAGGGAAACAACAGATGTGTAAGGTCTGAGGGTCCATGTGTGGAAGCAGACACCAGAGCCGAGCCCACACGGGCAAAGGAGCGGGCGTGCAGGTCGGGAGCTGGGGCTCACCTGGGAGGCTGGTGGCTGCAGCTCCTGGCCCTGCAGACAGCCAGGCCTGGGGTCTACAGGAGCTGGACAGGGAAGAGGACAAACAAGGCCTCATAGGTCCATTCTCCCCAGCCTCCCAGCAGGCAGCTGAGCCCAACGCAGTGCCTGAGAGCTCAGCCCTTGTCAAGGAGAGTCCTCGAACCCAGAGGGGGCAGCGGAAGTGCAGAAGCCCTGCCCAGGCCCTGTCTCCCAGCCCACCACCCACCCCTCACGGCTGCCACACCCACCAGCCCGTGACTGTCCACATCCGGACCCCTACCTCATGACCTCCCCAACTCTGATCTCCACACCTGACCCCAAAGCACATTTTATTATTATTTTTATTAGAGATAAGGCCTCTCACTCTGTCACCCAGGCTGGAGTGCAGAGGCCATAACTCACTGCAGCCTCGAACTCCTGGGCTTGGGGATCCTCCTGCCTCGGCCTCCTGAGTAGCTGGGGTTACAGGCAACCACCACCACACCTAGCTCATTTTCTTTTATTTTCTGTAGAGATGGGGTCTCCCTGTGTTGCCCAGGCTAGTTTCAGACTCCTGAAGTAACATGATCCTCCTGCCTTGGCGTTCCAGAGCGCTGGGATTTCAGGCAGAAGCCACCACCCCCGGCCCCCCATAAGCACATGTATGTGGGGTGAGGTGAGGTCCCTGAGGTGCAGTGTGGATGGGTCTTGATTTGTCCCAAGTTTGGCTGCCTTGTGCCACAGCCTCCCAAGAAAGGATGCAGTCCACACCTTCTGCAAATCCCTGCCTCGAACCCTGTCCCTCCGGAAGCACATCCAGCCACTGGGACCCTGAACCTCCTCCAAATGGACTTTAACTGGGGACAACTGATGACAGTCCTCCAAAACCCTGTCCCTCCGGAAGCACATCCAGCCACCGGGACCCTGAACCTCCTCCAAACTGGGGACAACTGATGACAGTCCTCCAACCCCAGGGAGCTGAGGAAGCCATGAGCAGGGGCTGCGACTTCCTTTCTTCCAGTCAACCTACCACTAGCAATCACTCACTCGGCCTGCTGGATAAGAACAGTGGCCTGCAGACGGGCCCAGGGCAAGGTCCGCTCTAGATCCTCCTATGCAGGAGGCAGACAACCTTCAGCACAGCGTGCCGGGGGTGCCCACAGAGATCCAGGCTGGCACAGGCAGGACAGGTGTTCTGTAAACCAATCCAAGGTAGAAGGGGCTGAAAGACCACCTACCAATCCCAATCCCTGAATTCACCGTGCCACCCTGAAAGTATGGCCTCTCCTGGGCACCCTGAGGGATGGGAGCTCCCAGAGTGGAGGCTGCCTGTCCCAACTGAGGACAAAGGAGTGCCTTCAGGCCTGAGCCCTCAGGGGCACCACCAGAGAAGAATGTGGTGGTACAAAGAGGTTCGTTCTACTAGCAGGCTGGAAGCAGCCACGGAGGTCCCAAACCAGATGTCGCAGCACCTGCTGCCCCAAAAGCCACTGGAGAACTGAGGCCATGACCTGTAGGGGCACGGTGAGAAGACAAGGAGTGGCTCCAGCCCCGTGTTCACAGATAAAAGGGAGAGGCATTTAAACGGGACCAGAGACTTGCACCCTCTGCTCTGGCAAGCTCCAGGGCTTCCCAGGGGCCTCAGCAGCCCCAGAAACGGAGTGAGGAGACACAGCCTCACAGGGCTGTGCTGTGGTGTCTGGTGCAGCGGGGCTCCACCTGAGAGGGCTTGGGGAACAAGATTCTGAGGCTAAAACATTCCACCACTTGAGCTTTTGAGACTGGTCAGGAAGTGAAAACAAAGTGTTCAGAGGAAACAGCAGTCTCCACAAAGCGTTCCGGGGGACAGGATGGAGGCAGGAAGTATGCAGCAGGCAGCTGGGCCCAGCAGCGCAGAGATGAGTAAGCTCTGGGCTCCCTAAAAACCTCACTCCAGGGAGACCCGCAGCAGCGAGCCCAGGTGAGGAGGGGCTGCAGGAGGAGCAGGGCCCAAGTCCCCTGGGTGGTACAAGGGATTCCACCCACAGGGGCTGTGCCTAGAGTCAGGTTCCAAGCCTTGTTGCAATTAGTCTCAAAGAGGGGCACCCTGAGGACACAGCCACTCACTGGGGACAAATGTCTACCCATGAGCCCAGCACAGTCAGCACAGAAGCAGGTCAAGAGCGGGAAGAGCTCAGGTCCTGAAGAGCTACAGTCTGACAGGGACAAGCCATCTCCAGAGGATTCAGGAGAGCCAGCCAGGAGCTCGGCAGGCCTGCCCCGTGCCCTCCTCAGCTCCACCCACCCAGGATGTCCCGCTGCTTCAGAGCCCTCGAGACATGTTCTAACCTCCTGCGTTGCCTCAAGCAGCCGCAATCCAGCAATCTTGGTTATGAGGCTCTGCTAGGAGTGACATGTGAGCCCAGAAATGGCACGAAGTACACGGATGTGCAGAAGTTCCCCAGACACAGGAAGCAAACGGGGGGGTGACACTACGAAGGCAACGGGACCCAAATGGGAACAACTGGGACTGTCATTCAGCACCGAGATCTTCAGAAACTATTTGGCTTTTATAACCATCACACATGCATTCAAAGCAAGAAACACACACTCCCAGGACACAGGCAGGGCTCTGTCAGGAATGACTTTTGCCCCTGTATCGGCAGAGATGTGAAAATACAAGAAACCACAGCGAGCCAAATCCTCTCCTTCATGAGAACAAAGGTTTCAGTGGAATCAACAGCAGACGCTGGAATGCAAACTACGTGCTGACTCAGCCAAATGATACAAATTTAAGAGGGGAAAAGAATTCAAGAGCAAAGCACTGAAAATAACATAGCAAGAAAAACCCATTTAGGCCGAGTGCTGGGGCTCACGCCTGTAATCCCAGCACTGTGGGAGGCTGAGGAGGGAGGACTGCTTGAGGCCGAGAGTTCAAGACTAGCCTCGGCAACACAGTGAGACTCTGTCTCTACAAAAAAATAAAAAGGTAGGCGTCACGGTGCACGCCTCTAGTCCCAGGTACTCAGGAGGCTGGGGTGGGAGGATCACTCAAGCCAGGGAGGTCGAGGCTGCAGTGAGCTGTGATCACACCACTTCACTCCAGCCTGGTCAACAGAGTGAGACCCTGCCTCAAGAATGAAAAAAAAGAACAATGCACCTATTTCATGCTCGCTCAAAGACGAGGCTAATCACTGTGGACACAGGGCATTCTGGAATTTCAGCTGCAGGAAGCGAGTGCTGCCCGTGAAATGGAGATGCTGCAAAGCAGCTACAGACGTGGAGAAAATCACCACATCCTCTTACAACCGCGTCTGTGAACACTGACCAGGACAGACAACTCCTCCCCCAAGGTATTACTAACGTGCTAACAGCTGGGGATAAGAGCACAAATATAATTGCTGGAAATCTAAGCAACCTGTTTTACTGTTTCCAGTGACTTACGTGCAAACCTAAGACTAATCTCTGAACGCCTGATCAAGACGTATTCATGTAAAGGCCGTAAGTATGAAATTCTGGGCAACATGGCACATTGCACTCTGAGCCAAAATGCCAAAATACCACGCAGGGTCTGTGTCCTGTATCCGGGTGATGAGCAGGGCCTGGTCAGCCACTCCTACTTTCTTCACGGAAAGAAACTCTACCAAGTCAACTCTCCGTGGGGCCCCCCACATCCTGGGGCCAGAGACCATGGGATGGGATCTGCGGGTAACAGAGGATGGTTCCAGTCATTCTGCTGAACGAGGCCACGACTGAAGTGAGACGTGCGGCCTCTTCAGCCGAGAGCAGGCCAAGAACTGAGTCCTAGCTCTCGGCCATCGGCCCTCAGGCACCGTGCCGGGGTCCACCCAACAAGGGGATGGCCGCCAGCCCAGCAGATAGAGCCTTCTGAGACGAAGCTTGTCCAGGGGCGGTGGGCATGGCCTCCTGTCGGCCTGGAGGGCAACTTCTCTCCACATGGACAGACAGACATCTCCACCCTCTGATACTGCAATGATCAGCCAGCGAACACGAGGCCAGATCAGCCCAGCCTGGCCCCCATTCCAGCCAGAGTGAGGCTCTGGCTTGTTCTAGGCTAGGGTGGACCCTTCCAAAACATTTCCTCACTTTCGGATGACATGGCAAGTGATAAAACCTGTATCGACAGGAACCTCGGGCACAGACTGTCCTGGGCACCCGAGCCACACCCATGGGCGACCCGCTCCTGGAAGGGCTCTTCAGTGTCTGCACATGCCCTCCTGCCTCAGGTGGGGTCGGGGCACAGGACCATGCCACTCCAGGGTGCGTGGAGAAACAGGGCCAGTGGCCAGGACAGGGCAGAGAAGCCATCAGTTGTCACCTGTTGTGGATGAGCAGGGCAAGGGAGAGTGAGCCGTGGCCCCGCAGCCACCAGGGCCCTCCTGGAGGGTTTCAACCTTGACCACAGCCCCAAGGGCGCCACGCCGCCTCCTCACCTGCTGCTGGCTCCGGAACACGGCGCGCAGCGCTCGCAGCTGCCCCACTTCCTGTGCACTGAAGCACGGCTGCCGCTCCGCAAAGCGCAGAACTGCGTCGAAGGCCACGGCTGCCTGCTCCCAGGCCGCCTCCTCACCCTCACCAGGATCTCCTCCACCGTCTTGGTCAGCTTTCGGAGTCTTTTCTGAACCCCACACAACCTCTGCTGGCAACGTGGCAGCAGGGGGTTGTCCCCCTTCTGCCTCCCTTCCTGCTACACCCCAGCCGGCGGCCTGGCGCTGGCGAAGCTGGCCCGGGCAGGAGGAGCCTTCCTTCACAAGTTCCAGGATGTGCGCAAAGGACGTGTTGTGGGGCTTCGCTTGGAAGTGCTCTGCCTCCACCTCCTCCTCAGAGGAGGAGCCTTCAGCAAACACAACTGATGGCCACAGCTTCCTCCAGGCCCGCCTGAAGACGTGACTGGGAATTGCATTCCAGGCACAGGCCATGCTGAATATGGCATCATTCATATTGTAGCGGGCGTGAGGGCCCTGGAGGGGGGTCGGAGGGTTAATGAAGTTCCTCATGAAGTCTCTCCGAATGCCCTGCTCCATGGGCTGCACCAATGAGGCCACGCTGGCAGGCAGGAAGATGGTGAAAACATTACTGGACACCAGCTCGGCCTCCTGCGGGTGAGCCCGGGAGCTGTCCAGCAAGAGGACGGCCTTGCTGTCTTCCGGCAAACCTATGGTTCTGAAGTGCTCTCTCACCGAGGGCACGAAGATATGATGGAACCAATCGGAAAAAATCTCCTTGTCCACCCAGGCGCTCCCCTGGGCCTTATAGGCCACAGGCAGGTGCTGGATGCCTTTGAAAGCCCTGGGGCCGCTGCATTTCCCGATGGCCAAGGGCTTGAGCCTGTGGGAGCCTGTGGCGTTGGCACACATCAGCACGGTCAGCCGGTCCTTGCTCTGCTTGAGGCCAGGCACGGCCCCGCCTTCTGGAGTGGGATTTGGCAGGCACCGCCAGAAAAGGCCGGTCTCATCAGCGTTGTAAACCTGCTCGGGGGACAGCCCGTGCTCGGCAGCCAAGCTCCTGAAAAACCCACAGAACTGCTCCGCGGCCTGGTGGTCGGCTGCCTGCTTCTCACTGGATGCATCTAGCTTTTTAATGCCGTGTCTGGCCTTAAAGCGCCAAAGCCACCCTCCAGAGAACACACAGGGCTCAGTGAGCTGCATCTGCTCGTAGAAGTCCTTGGCCTTCTCGATGAGCATGGGGCCTGACACGGGGACGCCCTCGGAGCGCTTCCCCAGGAACCACTCGTACAGGACGCGGTCCAGGTGCTCCAGCTTGGGCGTGTGCAGCGTGCGCCGCTGCTCCAGGGCCTTGTTGGAGTCCGAGCTGGCGAAGAACCGAAGCAGCTGTGCCTTGTGGGCCCTGATGTCGTAGAGGGTGGACATGCCCACGTTGTACTCCTGCATCAGCGCCTTCCGGCTCTCGCCCTTCTCCAGGCGCGTACAGATGTCAATCTTCTCCTTCAGCGTCAGCACCACCCTCTTCCGCTTCTCCCCTCCGCTCTTCCCGGCAGCCGGCTTGGAGGCCATGGGGAGGGGTAGCTAGTCCTAGCACTTGCAGGACACACGCCTGGCCTGGGCTGCTGCCACTACTCCCCCTCCTCCTGCTCCCCTTCCAGGGCTCCGTCTCTCCCTCTCCACTCTGCCTGCCTGATCCTGAGCACAGGCCCCAGTCCGTCTCGGGTTCCCCACTCCACACGCTGCACCTCCTGCCTCAGGTGTCCCTGGTCTTCCAGGCTCCACACACCCAAGCCTTGGCTCCTGGCAGTGCAGTCAGCTGCCAGTTCTCTCTGTGGAGGAGGTGACCCTGTCAGACTCCCCTCTGCTGCTCCACACGACCGGAACCCCGGCCTCAGTGGATACTGTGGTAGCAGCTCCCCTCAAACTGACCAGGTCTGGGGTGGTCGAGGTTTTGCCGCATAAGCTGCAGGGTGCCTCTCCGGGGTCCACGATGGTATCTCCAGGCACAGCACTTCAGGGGCTGGAAAGCAGAGGGAAGAGAGAGGAAAGTGATGGGGCACTCCCGGGACACACCTGGCATCCTCACGACTCTATCCTCACTGGGACGCTCCAGCTGAAATGCGAGTGCTACTGAGAGAAGCCACACAAGCGCTAGCACGCAGTGCGGGGAGAGGGCGGCCCCGGGAGCGGCCCAGCCCTGCCCAGCTCCTGGGTGTGCTGCTCAGGTGGACTCTGCCCCACTCCCACCAAGCAAACGGAAGCCATTCGCTAGGGCTAGAAACAAGACGTGGCTCTCATAGGAGTAGCCCGGCCTTTCCTGGGGAAGCACTCAGGCAGAAGCCATCAGAGGAAGCCAGGAAGTCCGACGCTGGGCAGACCTGAGAACAAACCTCCCACCCGCCCGGACCCGGACTAAGCTTCTTGCTGTAACTGCTCGCTGGGCTGCCTGAGCTGGCCATCTTCTCAAATCCCTTATTCCTCCTGAGGAGCAGAGGCAGGGGTGGAGGGATGCAGGGAGGAGGAATTCCTCATTACCCTCCCCGCCGAAGATCTTACAAACCCCATCTGCAGCAGGTCTCTAAACTCCTCTCTCTAACACAGAGCCCCAAACTGCCTCTAGAAAACAGGGCATTGGAAGTTTCTCTATAACAGCAGGCCTCAAGATCCTCCAAGGGCTAGGAGGTACTGCCAGTTACTCAATCACCCTCTGACCTCCCTGACCACACACACTCAGATGCCTCTACTGGGAGCCTCAGCAGACAGACAGCTGTGACCACTCCAGGCCCCTTTGAGGGAGCTCTCCTCAAGCTCAGCTCAGGGTACCCTGCCCCAGGTAGCCACACTGGGCCGCCAGTCTTTGAAACCCCAGCCTCTAGTGCTGCCCGTCCACCTGACTCCACAACCACGGCAGGGCCGCAGAGCCTGCCAGATACGGACACACATACAGAGCCACCGACCCTCACTCACACATACACGCTCAGAGGACACAGGAACAAGCTAGTCCAGAGCAGGAACTTCTTCAGCATTTGCTAATTTGGGAGGCTCTATGAACAAATGACTAATTCACACCAGAAGCAAATGCCAGGACACCTGATGGCCCGCTGGGAGCAAGGGCTCTTCCTGGGCCAGTTGTGTACCCTATGAAAAGCTTTGCTTTTAAGTTTCATACGCACCTTTGACCAATATGAAGAAAAACGACACAGAAATGTCGCAGCTCTAATCAAACACATCTTTCTGTTGGAGTTTTGAAGTATCTTCTCACCCTTCTACATAAAGAGGATGTGGGTCATTCTCATCCCTTCTAGGTGGACAATTCCATCCTCTCCTAACAAATCTGCGAAACACCCCACACCCCTCCCTACACCTGAGCCCACTGGAAGGGCACAGAGGGCGCACCCCTGTGAGGCCAGGGCAGCCTATGGAGTCAGGGCCTGCAATGCACTTCACCCAGTAAGACACTGGTGAGGGCTGAGAAGCTATTTGCCCCAACACCGGGCAGCTGAGCTGGCCGGCTCAGCATGGCGTGCGTGCAGGCCTGGGGTCTCCCTCCCCTCACTCCTCCGCAGGTCAGCAGTACTGGAGGATGGACTCCTGGAGTTCCTCCCTCCCTCCCGCGCCCTCGCCATAGCTGCTTCCGCCAACTCCATGCAGAGCATGTGGTAGAGTGCAGAAACGCAGCCCTTTGAGGCCAGAGCTCAAGAGAAATGAGGAGTGCAATCAAATGCAGCCAAAGCTCCAAAGACAAGTTCTAGGCTTCTTGGCCGCCACCTCTGGATGAGTCCTGTCCTCTTCCGGAGTCAGTTTCCTGGTCTGCAAAATGTGGGCTGGTCCCTTAAGGATCCTGCATCGTTCGCTGAGGGTGACGGTGTGACGTGTGTGTCGTCTGGCAGAGCACAGTGAGCTATGTGCATCTCACCGTGGGGTACAGGAGGGATGGCAAAGCCACAATCCACCCTCGAGATTTTTAATATGAACCCGCTGCAGAAAAACTGGGGGAGACACCGAATCCCACCGTAGCCTGTGAGGGACTAACTGGGGACTGGGATGCCAGGAAAAGTTTCCTGGAGGAGACTCAGCACCAGACACGGGCTCCTTGTGGACACGTCTCCGTGCCTGAAGTGCAGGTGCGGCAGGATGACACAAAGTGGCTGAATTTGTTTCATAAGGAAATCTCTGAATTTTATTTTTAAAGGAAGTTTTTGGTCTTGCAAGTGGGACAGCAGTGTGTTCCAGCACTTTGTGTTATCCTGCCACACCTGCAGCTCACGTATGGAGACGTGTCCACAAGGGGCCCGTGTCTGGTGCTGAGTCTCCTCCAGGAAGCTTTTCCCGGCATCCCAGTCCCGAGTCAGTCCCTCACAAGCTACTGTGGGATTCCGTGTCTCCCCGAAATGAGGGTGGTTTCTTGTCTTGCGACTGGAGAGGAAGCACAGAACCCGGAGGTCACGTGAACACGGAATGAAACATGGAATTCTCCTGTGCCCAAGGCACAGACAAGAAACGGGAGGCCTAAGGGGTCAGCGCTGGGGCCGACTCCGTCCTGTGTGAGGGGAAGAAGACCTGAGAAACGCGGGGGGAAAGTGGAAAACAACCTTCGCACGGGCATCGTGTGTGCGTGCGCGCGCGCGTGTTGGGGATGGGGGGTATGGAGGATATGAAAGAGAAATACTCAAAACACAAGTCGCATTCTGGGACCGGGGGAAGAGGTGAACTGGGGGTCAGAAGAGGAGTATGGGACAGAGAAAGATGGGACAGAAAGCCTGGGGCCGTGCGCCCCGAAGAGCGCGCCCAGGAGCCGGCGCCGAGTTCCGCTAGGAGCGCTCCACGCTGGGGCATCCTGGCGCAGGAGACAGCACTGAGCTACCGGCGAGGCTCGCTTAAAACGCACCTCTACCCCAGGGTCCCCGTTTGCGGGTAGAAATTCAGTCTGGGGCAAGAGCAAAAACGAAAATGGAGAAAAAAAGAAAAAAAAGTCTCGGTCTGGTTTTTTAAGGGCAAGTGGATCTCGTGACCAAGCCTCTCTGAAAGTGGAAGCGCAGGAAGGGTCCGGGCTGGGGCGTCAAGGCCAGGCCCTGCGGCGAGAGGTGGGCTCGGCTCGGGGGCCGCGCGCTCAGGCCGCGGGGGTCGCGCGGGAAGCACAGGGCTTCGGGTTCCGAGCGCGGCTCCCGGGAGGGGGCGCTGCCGCCCGCGGCTGGGTCCGGCCCCGAGGCCTCGCGACCAGCCCCGCCCCGCGCGCCCGCCTGCACAGACTGTGGCTCCCGCCCGCGCCCAGCAGTGACCGGAGTCCGCCCGAGCCCACCCGGCCCGGCCTGGCCGCCCAGCGCCTCAGCACAGGACCCTACTCACCCTGCTCAGCCGGAGCAGCCACCGCCGGCCGGAAGTGCCGGCCACTCAGTTCTCCTCCAGTCCGCGCCTCGTCGCCTTCCCCCAGCTACTTCCGGTACTCTCTAGACAGGCTGGAGGACTCGGCGCTCAGTGGTGTCTGGGAGCCAGACTCCGGCTTTCCCAGAGCTGGGTGGCAACGGAGGGCCTGGGAGGGCCGGAGGCCTGGCGGGGAGGGGAGGAGTGGGAGTCCCAAGGTGGGGGGAGGCGTGGGAGGGGAGAAGCGCAGACAGGGAGGGGAGAGGGGAAACGGGGCCGGGGTGGGCTGCGCGGGCTGGACCCGAGCTCCGAGCTGCTCTCTCCATCTGTAGAATGGGCGCAGGGTGTCACGTTCATTTGATGACGAGTGACCCCTGCGCTGAAGGCGTTGGGGCTCCTGCAGTTCTGGGGCAGCCACAGGCGCCCAGGGTTTCGTGCCGCCCCGCCCAGGACAGCCTTCCCGGTGCAGTTTCTGATGCAGGGAGGGCAGTGCTGCCTTCCAGTCACCAGGACCAGTGCTCAGCCCGCCTGCTTGACCCCCTTACTTAGCTGGGGCCCAATCCATACCCAATTTAGATGATTCAGATGATGGAATTTGAAACTTTTGAACTGGGTGCGACTTAAGTGAACGTGGACCTGAGTTGATGCTGTGATAAGCCAAGGCTGCGAAGGACCTTGAGATGGGTGCGTGCGTTTTGCCCATGAGACCTATGCGAATCTTTGGAAACTGGAGGGTGGACTGTGGTGGGCAGAATAATGGCCCTCCAAGGATGTCCACATCCTAACCTCCAGCTCCTGTGAATACATTACTTAATGGCAAAAGGGACGTTGCAAATGCAATGAAGTTAAGATTCTTTAGATGGGGAGATTCTTATGTTTATCAGGGTGAGCCCAGTGTGCAGTCATCCCTGGGTATCCATAGAGGACTGGCTCCAGCACCTCTCAAGGACGCCAGAATCCTTGATGCTCAAATCTCTTACATAAAATGGCTTAATATTTGCATATAACCTACACACATCTTCCTGTATACTTTAAGTCACCTCTGGATTACTTATAATACCTAATACAATGTAAACGCTATGTAGATAGTTGTTACACAGTATTGTTCAGTGAATAGTAACAAGAGAAAAGTTTGTACATGTTCAGTACAGACACAGGTTTTTTTTTTTTCTGAATCGTTTGTATCCTTGGTTGTTTCAATCTGGATGGAGAGCCCACAAGTACAGATAGGAGGGCAGGTGCCATCACAGGGGTTCTTGTGGGAGTTAGGAAGCCAAGTGAGAGGACAATGGGATGAAAGCAGAGAGAAAAGGAAATGTGACAACCGACACAGGGGTTGGAGTGATGTCCTTTGAAGATGGAGGAAGGGGCCACAAGCCAAGGACTATGAGCAGCTTCTAGAGACTGGGAGAGACAGGGAATCAAGGCCTCTCCTGGAGCCAACAGAAGGAATGCAGCCTGCTGACCCCTTGATCTTAGCCCATGACACTCATTGTCCCATTAGACTTCTGACCCCCAGAGCTGTAAAATATAAATTTGTATTGTTTTGGATCACCATGTTTATGGTAATTTGTTAGGACAGCAGTAAGAAACACACACAGATTTGGGTAGCTCACTCCTCCTTTTTCCTTTTTTGAGGCAGGGTCTCTCTGTTGCCCATGCTGGAGTGCAGTGGTACATTCTCCTCACCGCAGCTCCAACCTCCTGGGCTCAAGGGATCCTCCTGCCTCAGCCCCAGAGTATCTGGGACTACAAGCATGCACCATCTCACCTGTCTTTAATTTTTTGTAGAAACGGGGTCTAGCTGTGCTGCCTCGGCTGGTCTTGAGCTTGTGGACTCAAGCGATCCCAAAGTGCTGGAATTCCAGGCACGAGCCCATGTGCCAGCTCACTCATCCTTAGCTCAGTTGTTCCCTGGGCTCCCAGGCCCCTCCCGCCCTCTGGGTCTTCTCTTCCTCACCCTCCGTTGCTGGTTCCTTACTGACCAGGCCATTCTTTGGCTCTTTTTGTTCAACCAATCCCCACTCCCTGGGTGATCTCCTCTGGTGTCATGCTGTTAAATACCATCCAACACTGTCAACGACCAAATTCATGTCTCCTGCCAGGGCCTCTCCCCAGAAATCCAGACTCCTGTGTGCTACCCAATGTCTCTGCTTAACTTTGATCCTCCAGCCCAGCTTTGCTCCGTCTGCATTGCCCCCACCTTCATGAATGGCAGCTCACCTTGCTGTTCACTCAGGCTCAGCCTCGACAGTCTCCATCCCTCATATCCAGATCCTCTACCCTCAAAATCCAGTCAGTGTTTGGTCTCTTCTCACTCCCTCCAACTTCCCTCCCCCATCCACACCTCTGTGGTCTTGCCTCCTCCCCAGTCTCCGTGTCTGCCCTTACCCCCATACAACTATCAACTGCTGCATCAGAAACCACCCAAAACTTAGTAGCTTGAAACCAACTGTGTTTATTGCACACGATTCTATGGGGCAGGAATTTGGCCGTGGTAGAGTCAGATGTGTTTCACAGAGGAGGAGGCTGAGTCACGGAGCATACCAGGCACATGGTGGGACTAGAACCCAAGGTCACTGGACTGGGGCTCCCATGGCAGGGTCTCCTGGGACAGCGAAGTCCTCCATCCCTGGGAAAGCTGGCTCCATCCCTGGTGTGACTCTGCTGCTGAAGCAGCATTGTCTGGGGTAAATACCTGGGGTTCATCGTCTCATGCCAAGAAGATTAAGGACATGGACTTGTGGATGGCTTAAGGAGCAGAAAGTTTAATAGACAGAAAAAAGGAGAGGAGAGCAGCCCTTGCTTTCGAAAGAGAGGCGTCCAAAAGAGAAAAGCTGGCCTGCAGCAGACCCCTGCAGATTGTATAGGCCGACTTGAGGAGGCAGTATCTGATTTATGAAGGGCCCACAGGTTGGTATGACCAAGGGTGATATTTACATATGGCGTGGGGAAGGCCGGTCACCCTACCATAATCTTATTATGCAAATGGGCTTTCTACCTGGCCAGCACCATCTTGCCTGCTCCCTACTGTACACATGGCTGGCAAAGAGAAGGGAAGATGGAGCTGCCATTTTGATCATGCCTAGTCTCAGGTAGCTTTTTCCTATTGGCACAGCTGCTGGCATTCACCCGTGCAAGCTTCCAGCTTGCTTGTCTTATGTTTGCAGCTCGATTTTATAGGCTGCTCTTTATTAGAAAAAAAAATGATTTGCGGGCTGCTTTTCATTAAAAGGAACACCTTACTGAGGACTTCCTTACCCTCACTATCTGCCTAAATAATTTATTTTTAGCTCCTCTATCACCCTCACCTCAGGGACATGGAATCACGTGGTCTCCCAGGACTTGGATGGTGCTGGTGGGCAGTGGGGATTGGCATGAAACTGGGGCCTTATCCCAAGATGCATCCATACTGACACTGGGAGGGGTCAGAAAGAAAGGAAGAGAAGGAAGAAAATATACTAGTGTGTAATCACCCAGTGGGTTCATTTTGACCCCTGGCAAGATAGAACTGATTTATCAAGACAGGGGAAATGCAATAGAGAAAAAGTTTAATTCATGCAGAGCCAGCTGAACGGGAGACCAGAGTTTTATTATTACTCAAATCAGCCTCTCAGAAAATTCGGATGCTGGGGTTTTTCAAGGAGAGTTTGGTGAACCAGGGAGTGGGTGCTGCTGGTTGGCTGGGGGTATGGAAAGTGGTCCCCTGTGCACTGAGTTTGCGTCCAGGTGGGGCCACGGGACCCGCTGCTGGGTTGGTGGACCTCGTTAGAGCCACCCAACAGTCATTAGGCATGCAACAACCTGAAACAGCATCTCAAAAGGTCAATCTTAGGATCACAATAGTGATGTTACTTGCAGGAGTAATTGGGGGAGTTGCAAATCTTGTGGCCCCTGGAATAATGGCTAGGAATCATTTAAGTCTACACCAGAACTCAGACTCCCCTCATCTTCCTAATGCAATGGTGGCCTTTCATTAGCTTTACAAACATGGCTGAGTTTTGGGAAAGGGCTATCATGCCCAGAAATGACTTAGGGCAGTGTGGAGGTTAAAGGCAAGTTGGGGGTTGGTTAGATCAGATGTCCTTCACTGTCATCATTTTCTCACTGTTATAACTTTTACAAAGGCAGTTTCCAGTGTCTCCTGGGGGCTGGCACTGAGGACTCCCTTCCCCCAGCCATGCCCCAAGTTCACAGAGCAGAGCCCCCAGACCATGCCTGGGCCACTGCACCATTCTCCTTCCCCACCGGCTTCCCCATCTCCACCCACAGTCAGAGTGGCCTTTGACAGGGCCAGTCACTCCCCCTGCCCAAATAAGCCTGTGCACTCTGAATACAGCCCAGGTCCTCACTGGGCCACAAGGCCACACCGGAGCTAACCCCTTACTGTCCTCTCCCAAGCCCATGGGCCATCCCCCGTGCCTGCTATTCCCTCTGCCTGGAGGTGGGCCTGTACCCAGCAGTGTCCTTTGCTCAGTTTCCGGAGTCCTCAGGTGGGGGCAGTCCCAGCCAGCCCTCCCTCTGGAGGTCTCTGGATGACAGGCCTCCCACAGCAGAGGTGGCTGGGGGTGCTGGTGAGGCTGTGCCCAGCTGGAAGGGAAGGGTGTGCCTTGGGTCTCCTCCCCAATCTGAGTTCACTCCAGGAAGGGGGAGTGGCACAAGCGGAGGGTGCAGAGCAGTGGGGGCGGTTCTGAGGGTCATTGGAGGCCAAGGGGCCTG